TATACAGAGTGTTTTTTAAGGTGAATTAGCCTAAATCTGCCTATTTCGAGTCCACGAATTTGTGGTCTTCCGTTGTACACGTTATTTTGGGACACCCTGTATATCGCACATTTCAGTACTTGTGTTACCATTAAAAAATACTGTGCACAAAACATCCTGTAAAACCACACTACATTTAACTTGGTGGCATAATTACAAACGAAATACCAAAAAAAGTATAATTTAACAAATCACCGGTGGATGGAATTTTAGAATTTTTTTTTTATCTCTACTCCTCATTCTAATTACGAGAATTAGCCCATAAGTCGGAGACTTGTGCGGGAGAGGAGGCGGCATATTATTATTACGCGGGCCGCATTTGCGCCCAGGAACGACTTATGTTGGTAGGCCCTAACCACCATTCAGTGCAGGAATGAGGGAAACCTGGAAAACCTCATTAATTAGGGGGGTGGTCAAATGCCAACCGGTGTCAATCTCTCACATTGACCCAAGCCAACATTCTTCCACCCTACCATACCTGCACCGAGGGTGCCAATCCTCCGTACAAGTATAGCTAATCTACGGTCTACCGGCCGCGGGAGTCGAACCCGGGCAGAAATTTGCACACGATTAAAGGACTGACGCCTTAACCCGTGCGGATATCGACCGAATTTGCATGTACCTATCATATATTGGAATAAATACTATTTTCTACATTTAATATTCTTCATCGCTATTATTGTACAGGGTGCTGCAGTGCTCCTAAAACAATTTATTTTTATTGTACGTTTCACTACTGTTAGAAAATTTTATTTCTCATTGTTTTTCTAAATCTCCATACTTCCATTTCTAATCTTTGTATATATATGTTTATCACCGTCATCTATATTTCTTTTCCAGCAAAATTAGTGAATTTCAGTGCTATAGAATATCAGTACGATCCGATCAACTTCCACGCCGACCACCCTTTCCTGTATATTATTAAATCCAATGGATTAATTCTTTTCGTTGGACGCTTCGCAAATCCTTAACAGAATACAATACATGGAAATTATTTTTTTAAGGATTCGGCACTAAAAGTAAACATGTTAAATAAATAAGCTACAATAGATTGTGTAAACATTTTTGTATAAATTGTATAAATATTCTAGTAAAATATATTTGAAAACAAACGTGTGTAGTAGTCCTTGGTTGTCCTTAGATTCCCAGAAGTTACTAATTGTGGGGTCTTCGTCAAGATTTTCCAACACTGCATCTACAACATTAAGGTTCACTTGCTGACCACGTCCTTCTCCTTGAGGAATAATACTTCCCATATCTCGCAGCCGCTGAACGCACTGTAGGCTTGTATTTGCACATGGGGGTGACGTTGTGGCTATCGTTCCCGGTACAACCTAGTCGCCGCGAGCGTATTTTCTCTGGCTGCACCATACACTAACACCATATCGACACGTTCGGAAATAGTAAATGCATTGTTTTCTCGGTTCATTGTAAAACTAGTTTGAGCACAGACTAAAAAATTAAGCAAAGTAAGAAATAAGAATCTCGTTTTTAATGTAATCGCCACGCTATTCTTATTTTTTACTTCTTTATAAAAATTACACTGTCACTATCTTGGAATTACAAAATAAAAACTTTTGTCTGGAATCTTTCACTTTTTAACACTGATGGGTTGAAGGACGATGCTGAATATTTAATAATTAAGTGAATAATGAATTCAATACAAACACAAAATCAGTTGACTGCACAAATTTTTTGACAGTGTAACCTAACCTTCTTTTTGTATTACTAGTATTAGATTATACCGACTTAAATTATAAGGCTGCATCTCGGGTAGCATAAAAACATTTCCAAAGTTTTTAATAAATAACACAGGGTCGGTCTTCATTTTCGTTGAATAAATGAACTTTAATTTACAAAAAAAAACTTTTTCGTATAAGACTTTTTTATTACAAATATCATCAGGAAGCTTGTACTTTAATTTTTCTAGATTATACACGCCACACCCTGTATAGCGCATTTCATTAAGTAGTTAACTTTTCGAAAATCAATCATTTTTAATACTTAGCGATGCCGATGTCATGTTTAAAAGAAATTTTGATTTATATCTAAGAAATGCAACATTCAACTTTTTTTATACCGCTCTTTGAGTTCGCAAGAAAATTTCCTAAAGCTTTGGTCTTTTTCCTAAATAGAACGGTAAAAAAGATAAGGGTGGTAGAATGTTATGTAATTATCTTTTATCTTATTCTTTTTATTTTCGTACTTAAAAAATGCTACGGGACAAAGTTGTAGGAAATTTTATTATGATCTCACACCTGTACGTAGAAAAACAATCGAACGTTACATTTTGGAGATACAAGTCAAATTTTATACATTACATATTTTTACATATTTATATAGAATGCTTCTGTAACATTACAGTGATATAAGGTTTGTTGCGTCTATCTCTAATATCTTATCTCTTTTGGCCATAACTTCCTTATTATTTGTGATAGGTTCCTCAAACCTCATATCGTTGTAATCTTGAGTAAAATTTCTATCCAAATAAGTGTGTTCAGTTTGAAGAAAACTCAGGTTTAATAAATATATCTCAAATGCAACATTTAATTGTTTTTCTAAGTATAGTCTTGAAATAAAGAAAATTTTGTATAATTTTAATCAGCGCAATTTTCCTAAATACGAAAAGCAGGAAAGACAAAGGGGATATAACGTTGTGTGAATAATCCTGTATATATTTGTTTCTTTTATTTATGTTCTTTTCATTGATAAAAATTTTATTTTCAGTGTTAGCAGGCGAAAGATCGGCACACGTTTATCATTTTGATCCCCTCATCTTCCATGCCGATCATCCATTTATATATTTGATCAAATCGAATGGAGTGGCTCTTTTTGTCGGACGCTATACAAGTCCCTGAAGTACCTGCTGATGAATAGATTTTAAGTATAAAAAATATATAACGTTCCTTTGATCTTTTGTTAATATCTATGTACAAGTAAATAAACTGCTGTTGATCATATGCTCATTTTTTTTGGGGGATCTTACCAAGTAAATAACGTTCCAATATGAAACTTAGTCATTTAATCTTAAGTTTGCAAAAGCTGATGAGAAACCATAAGTTTCTTAGAAGTCCTTGGTAACTTGACAATGGTCCTTTGTTCTAGTGCTTATCTTTATCCAATACAATGTTGCATCCTTACTTGAAATTATTCAGAAATGAACACAGTTGAATAGTCATAGTCAAACAACTCCTTTTTTATAAAAAAGTTGATTTCATACATCGACTTTTCCAATTAATTAAAAGATTACAAAGATTATAAATATTTCAGATTAATTGTGATTTCATGCAAGATAATTGAGTAGTAGAATAATTATTATTACAACTTGTAATTGGTTAACATAAGAGTTGATTTAGGTAAGTTCAATCTCTTCTTCCTGATCTTCAGGGCAGATTGATAGTCTTCTTCGGGGTAAAATGCTTGCAAATCTAGAAAATCTTTTCTTAGGTCTGGGTGGACATGGTGGAGTATTTGGTGAGAATGAAAGGGCCAATTTTCTTCGTTTGTACTGGCAAGTACTGTAAAGTAGGTACGATTATAAATATTATTAACGTAATTGTTACATATGTAAACCATGAGATGTGTTTTTTGACAAAGGGTTCGTTAATTAATTCATCCAAAGTTTTTGAATATTCATCCAATTTGTGTTTGGCAATTTCTTAGTCTTCTGCGTTGTGGTTGTTTAATTTAAGAGGCCTTAAATTTGGAAGTTGAACATCATCAGGAATTTCTTCAAAGCAATTCTATGGAAATTTTTGAATCCGTTGTGTCTTTTGAGTTTTTTGTACTTCAGTAACGCCGACGAATGCATTATATTCGAGTTGTAGTTTAAGAATTGAGTTTTTGAAGATAATTTTGGTTTTGGAATTTTTTCCTCGACAGTTAATGGATCTGAGTTTATTATTAGCCAATTGATTTTAGATAATACTCATATTTTGTAGCCTTTGGCATAAATTACTGAAGTTTCACAGTTTTCTAGAAGACTGTTTATATTTTTGACGATCTTCGCTCCGCAGATTGCGTTGTCATCTATAGGATAAGCAAATAAATTTGACCAAAGTTGTGTCCAAAGTAGAGTGGTTTGCATTTAAATCCGTCATTGGTATACACAATAAAGAATTATGGACACGCGCAATATATTGTCCTATTATTTAGGATGGGGAGTATGGGGAATAGTCGAAATAGTTATATTTTTGTTGGTCAACTAGTGGAATGAGTTAAATTGAAATGCTTCTAATTCAAGTATTTACCTACATTTAACCAACATTTTATACCAAGTAGTAAATTATTATGGTGGAGATTTTGAGATATTTCCTGCAAAGAGGTTATAAGATTTTCGGGGTTGATTATAGATGTGTGGATAATCTTTAAATGCGCGAATGTTATTGAATTCAGAACATTATCTAGTTGATTCTCGATGTACAAATAACTCTCCATAAGAAGTTCACATTTTTCTAGAAATTGTAATTTTGATTCCACTATTTTGATTTTATCTTTTGTGAACTAGTAGAGTTTATTTCTTCTTTGCAACGAAGACCGCTATTTTGATAGTAATGTATTCCTATTGTGTTATTTATTGGTGTTATCGTGTAATCTAATTTGTTTGCAATTTGCTTTCAGAAAATAGATTCAATTATTTTAAATCAAAGAAATCGTTAACAATTATGGGTCATCCTTTACTTTCGATTTCTCACATTTTTTATAGAGAATATATTTCAATTTGTCTAATTAAATTACGGTTTATGATCTTATATAATATCAGGTATATAAGCAAAAAGAATGATTTATAAATAATTGTGGCTACATAAGTTTGTGATAAACCAGCTCCTGATCAAATTGACCTCACAAGAACCGAACGTAAATAAGGAAAAATTATGTTTCTAACTGATGATAAAACTGAGAAATTTATTCTAGAGTTTCATGGGGGGGAAACAAATAAATATATTCGGTTGTTGGCTCATGTGAAGTTATTCAGCAAAAAAAGTAACACCGCTATTACATCTGTGACCATTCAACAGTCAATTGAAGATATCTTCAGAAGGTAAGTAAAAGATGACACTTACTTTGTTAAATTCTTGTAAACAAGTATGCAACCTCATATTAAAACTCTATTATGTCTAATAAGAGGACAATATTGCAACAATCTGATTTATATGAAAGCAAGATCAAATAAACGTACGGCTCGTCTCAAAATCTCGTGGGTGAATTGCTTAGTATGGAAAATAATAATACACACTTTCATAGTTTTAGTCGAAAATCAGGCTTTTTTCGAAAAACTGAAGAGAATAGTAATTTGTAGAAAATTGAAAGACGAATCTGAAAATATGATTGTTACCGTAAAACTGTGACGTACTATTTTATTTAGAAAAATATACCACCGATACCCTGTATCTCCGCCACTGGAGAGTCCTTAGACTTCGGACAAAGTTTACATAAATACGTATGCCCAATTTCAAATTATTTCACTTACTAGTTTTTAAATTGTTTAAAAAAATGAAAAATATTTTTTTAAGTTTAACATCCTTTTTCTTTTTAACGAAGCGCCCTAGATAAAAACTTATATAAAAGACTTTCCTTAAAATTCGCCTAAGAATACGAGGTCACCATTTATGAATCACTATAAATCAATAAATGGTATCTACAAATAAAATACTGTCACATTTTGTTATTTTAATACAATCTGTTACATAAAAATTGATAAAAGGTCGGGGTATTAGAGGTCACTATATGTGGTTATTGTTTATTATCTTATGAGCTATGAAATCATAAATTTAAGAATACAAAGATAAGGCATATAGCACTTCGCGTGCTGACAATTTTCCTCAACCCACCACCTTCTACGCTATTTTGTAGTTGAACAGCTTAATGGTGTAGTTAATTTAATAGACTGTTTTAAAATAATAATTCCCCCAGTCGAGCAAAACGACAGCCTTCGCGCAGATAAATTGCAACCTCTGTTAGGGTCAGACCCTTTCAACCTCGTTGACAGGAACATTTTCTGTGAAATACTCAGAAAACATGTTATAGGATTAATTTTTCTCTCCCGTTGTACCTTTCTTCTTAATAATAATAATAATAATAATTAAAAACGGCTAATCGTAATTCCTTACACTCTATATTTTATTCTAAATCCATATGTTTAAAATGATGGATTTTACGTTTTAAATAGACCTTTTTTAGTAGTGACGTCACATACGCCAAGTAATAGGCAACCCCATAGT